GACCCCCCCCCCGCACCACCCCCGAACCCCCGTCCCCCTCCTCAACTCCCCTCCTGTGCACCACCCCTGGCCCCCCTCCCTTCTCTCCACTCCCCTGCCTCCACTCCCCTCCCCCCTTTTTCCATGGGGGGACAAACATGAAAAATACCGATGCCGCCACACGAGGCCCTCTCCGGAGGTGCGCTCCGACCAGCATCTCGAAGCGAGGCCAGCCGGGGCGACGACGGGGGGGCAGCGGTATCGGTACCTTTTCGTGCCCCGATTTTCCCCAGAGGCCTCCCTCGGCGGTGAACAAATCTCCCTTTAGTAAGCCTCCCCTTAGTGAAAACGGCCTGGGACCGAAACCGACGGACCTGGACCCGCAAAGATGACGGCCGCGACGCCCTCTCGCGAACCGAAACGGCCAATTCGCTAATCGACGTGTTAGGGTAAGTCTGTCCACCCCCGACTCCCACATGAGGCCCTTCCTTCCCACCCACTTCCCTCCGGCACCCCTCTGCACAACCCCCCACCCCCAGGGCCGTAGGCAGCCGCCGGGTGGGCAGCGACGCGCCGCGGACGTTGCCGAGCGGCGGCGGCCCGTCGGGGGGCGGCACGGCCCGGTCCTGTGGCGGAAGGGCGCGCTGGGGAACGTTGGGGGATCGAGAGGGAGGGCAGAGGCTCAGACCCCCAACGCACTGAAAAAAAGCACGATCACGGAAGCTGTCCTTCCACTGCCAGGGGTTTTCGCCGGGGCCTGGGTCCGCGGCAATTCGGCTCAGGATGAGAATGAGGGCCAACGATAGGGGGGGATAGGCATAGGGGGGGATGCATCGACCTGGAATCGGCGATACATCGCCGATAGATCGGCGATAGACCCCGATAGCGAATCCGCACCTTCCTGGGCGGGTTGGGGCTATCGGGACCCTATAGGCGATCAATGGGCGATTGGAAGTCGATGCATCCCCCCCTATGCCTATCCCCCCCTATCGTTGCCCCCGAGAGGTGCCGGTCCCAGGGAACCGGTCGAGACCTCTGGGGGCCCCGTGATAGGAAAAGCAATGCATCAGATCTCCAGGGTGAGCAAATGAAGAGGATCGAGGGAGAGGAGCGAGGGTGGGAGCCAAGGGGCGGACAACGACGAGGGGGATCGAGAAAAGGATCGAGAAGAAGAGTGGGGGTCATGATCGGAACCATTATCGAAGAGGGTGATCAAGCAGGATAGTCGAAGAGGATCGACAGGGGTCAAATAGGATGACCGACGAGGATGACCGAGGTCGTGGTCAAAACGATGATCGAAGTCGTGGAGCAGGATCGAATAAGATGGCCGAGGGCGATCGAAGAAGATGATCGACGGCGCGATCGACGACTATCGACGAGGATGGACGAGGAGGGAAAATCGAGGATGACCTTGGCGGCTTGCACAGGAGGATGACGCGAAAGGAATAGCCTATTCAGAAAACCAAGGGGACGCCTTCGAAGGCCAGGGTTTATAACAAGCCACCCAGGCTTCTCAGAGGCCTGCACGGGGCCCCAGGGAGCCCTTAGAGCAGCACAGGGCCCAAAAAGGGCCTTCAGGCGCCTCACGGGGCCACCAAGGGATGATGACGGTGATGATGATGATGATGATGATGATGATGATGACGATGATGATGATGATGATGATGATGACGACGACGACGACGATGATGAGGACGACTATGATGTTGATGATGATGATGATGATGATGATGATGATGATGATGATGATGATGGTGATGGTGATGGTGATGATGATGATGATGATAATGATGATGATGATGATGATGATGATGATGATGATGATGATGATGATGATGATGATCGGTGATGATCGGTGATGATGATGATGATGATGACGACGACTGGTGACTGGTGATGACTGATGATGCTGGAGATGATGATGCTGATGTTGTTGATGAGTGAGAGGACGGTGGCGGAAAATACGACGATGGCGATGACGATGATGATGATTATGGTGACGATGATAATGATGATGCTGATGAAGGTGATGATGATGCTACCGATGATGCTTGCAATGCGGATAATTATGCGAATAGTAATGATGATTCAAACCACGGCAATGGACACGAAAACGATGCCAGTGAGGATGATGGTGATGATGATAATGATGAAGATGGTGATGATGATAGCGATGGTGATGATGATGCTAATGGTGACGATATTGACTATGTTGATGGTGCACATGATAATGACAATGATAAAAAGTGCAAGGATGACGATTGCGATTGCGAGAGTGGTGATGTGCATCATGATGACGATATGCATCAGCAGCATCATCATCAATCATGATGCACCATCAATACTCGCCACTCGTCGTCATCATCACCAGCATCAGCATCATCAGTATCATCATCAGCAGCCATCATCACCATCATCAACCACATCAGAATCGTCATCACCATCATCATCACCATCATCATCAGCGTCGTCATCATCACCAGCGCCCCACAAGCCACACCTCTCAGATGATTCCCCCTCG